ATAGTCTGTGGTGTTCCTTTAGTATATTTTATAGATTTAGGATTGCATTTTGGTTAAAAACTAGTCTCCTTAAGCTAAGATATCTAGTTTAAAATTTCCTTTATCCGGTATCACTGACCATTTAATTATTTCACACCCAAATTTTGCCCCTGGCTTTGTCTCAGTATCTTCCTAAATTCGCTTTTTATATTTATTTTTTTATATGGTAATCCATATACGTTGACTTTATATTAATATCTTTATGCAGGAATGGCTGTATCGAACTTTTTACACAACAGTTTCTAATTATTTTGACCCAAACACTTATATGTGAGATTTTTTATCTTTTAATTTTTTAGTTGAAAATTCTCTATTATCATGCACTTGCTTAATTTACGTATGTAAATCTTCGTTTAGAAAAACGTGCCGAGAAGCGGCGTAAACAAGAAGAGAATGCAAAGAAGCCCAAGAAAAAAGTATGCCTGGCCTTTGGCCTATACTGGTAGTTCTATCTTAGATATCATATGGTCAGATTATTTCCTATTTTGGTTTCAAATTTATTTCAGATTAACTTCCATCTTGCGCTTTTTATTTGATATTTTACTGACGCTATTAGGAATTGTGCACTGATTATTATATTTATTCCTATTACCTTTTGTATTCCGGCCAAATTTTGCTGAAAAGGCAAATATTGGCTGGATAAAATTGTTACGAAATCTTACCTAGGTGTGATGACAAAATACTTCATACATTCATTCGCTTGCTCATAGAATTAAATCCTTTCCTTTCGGAGGATTTATTGCCAGAATAAATTTAAAATAAACCGAGAAGCTCTCCTAATGCTCATAAAGAAATAACATTAAACGCATTTTTTTCTGATTGACATTTACGCTGTTGGCATATTTACATTTGCTGATGCCTACATCTTTTTCCTTACTATGCCATAAATCTGACCCAATTATTCTCCTTTTTTCTATCTAGCCAAAGCGTCCTCGATTTTATCATTCAGATAATGGCTTAAATAGGTCCAAATCAGAAGGAAGCATGGTTGCTGAAGAGGATTCTTTGGACTCTGCAATACCTTCTAAAAAGATCAATTATGCTGCCCTTGAGGCTCTTGTTGGACCGTCTTCTAGCACCATCACTACTAGCATCAATATCAGTCGTAGTAGCGAGAGGAATGAAGTGATTGACGTTGATATTCAATCTGGAGAGTTACATGGTCTCAATGCCACCTGCAATTCTACCTTCGACCGAGACAAAGCTCTAATGCTTCCCGGACCGTTGTTGGCTGCTACTTTAAAACCGGCTTCGATTTCGTCTCCTTTGTCTGCTACTCCCCAGTCTAGTTCATCTCGCCTTAAATCCTCATCTACTGCATTAAATCGTCAAACATTCCCCACCATTAATATTTCTAGCGCCACTTCTGCGAGCAAGAGTCCTAAAGAGGAAAAGCAAAAGAGCGTTAAATTCTTGCTCGGTGATGAGGATACATCTGAGGTGAATGACCTACCTGGCGATGGGGCTGGAATGGACAATCAGAATAAACACGACATTTTACCATCTGATGTAGAAGCAGACAATGATGCCGAATTTTCTTCTGACGCCGACTATGATGAATGGCAAGATGGTGAAGAACTATGGTAGCTATTCTCCATTCCGATCAATGCTATCGCCGCATTTGGTATCACAGTGACTTATTTAAATGAAAATAATTGTAAATATATTTCATGCCTTCCTGATC